CTTCCTTCCTTCCTTCCTTCCTTCCTTCCTTCCTTCCTTCCTTCCTTCCTTCCTTTTCTTCTTTTCCCTCCCCTCTTCATTCTCCTTTCTTCTTCCTTCCCCTCTTTCCTTCTTTTTCTTTTGTTGCTCTCTTTCCATCTTTTTCTTTGTTTTTCCTCTTTCCCTTTCTCCTTTCCTGTCCCTTCTTGCATGCTCAAACGCAAAACATTTCTCCTTTTGTTTTGTTTTTAGTTTGTTTTGCTAGCCCTCTGCAAAAGGGGGGACATTTCTCCTTTTGCTTTTACTTTGCTTTGATAGCCCTTTGCCAGCGAAAACAGAGCTCCATTTTCCCAAACAGAGGCACCCTGGGCTAGTCCTTTGCTGTTTTCAGACCGGCCCCCTGGGCCAGATCTAAGCACCCTATGGGCCCACAGGCCTTGAGTTTGACACCCCAGGTCTATGTTATTAGGTTCTTATTAACTTATGATGGGTACCTAGCTCAGAATGGAGCATTCTCAGTTTAACTGCCCTCTTGTTTATCTAGGATGAAGAGGAGGCAGCACTTATTTCCAAAATCCCAGATCTTCCCAATCAGGACGGGCATGCTACCGATGAAGAGAAGTTGGCTTCCACTGGCCAAAAGCCAGCTGAGTTGGAGGTAAAAGGTGAGCCCGAGGAAGACCTGGAGTATTTTGAGTGTCCCAATGTGCCCGTGCCTACCATAAATCATACGTTTTCATCCCAGGTAGAAGGTATGGAAGCTCCTCTCGTTATTTTATCTCTCTCTTGCTTTAATAATGGAGTTTTTTTCCCCTCTAATCTGCCTTCCAGACTCCCATGACTCTCATCGCTGGTAGCAGAGTCATTGGCTGTCAGCAAGGAAAGTCTGCAAAGTCTAGTCCAACACATCTGGAGGACAGATGCTGTAGGAGGCTACTGTATTTCAATAATGGTTGCGTTCTGGGAAGGATATCAGTTGCTGAGTGAATTTTTTTCTGAGTCATCATGTGCCTTTTTAAGCAAACAAATGTACAGGTTGGGATTCACTGAATGTGTCATGCCCCTGGTGGAGGCTGACTCTGAGGGAGAGGAGGAACAGCCGACAGGGAGTGGAAGTGGGGCTCCGGAGGTTGTGGAGGAGGCTGGGGAAGGGCAGAGGCCGGCTGGGCAGTCAGAGAAGGACCCAGGCCCAACCCCTCTCCATCCTAGGGCACGCAGGGAGGCGAGCATAAGGGAGAGATGTGGTCTACTCGGGAGGAGAGGGCCTTGATCCTCTTCATGGGCTGTGGCTGTGACAACTGAAGAAGAGGATGGACATGTGTACGGGCAAGTGCTGGAAACAACGTGTGGAAATATCTCTAGTTTATGGTTCCTCTCTGAGTTTGGCGTCCTTCCCAGTGTGTTATCTGTGGATGTCCTCCAGCCCTTATCTTGCCTGGTTTGTGTTGCTTTTTCCCTTCTTCTTGTAACTGTTTGTGTGGGAGTTTTTTGTCTTCCATCAAGAATATTCAGAGCTTGGAAGCAAAGTGAAGGAATAAAAGGGGCCTCACCTGTTTTCTGTGGCTGTGTTTGTTTTGTATCCCATCCTGGGTCATCACACAATGTGTCTATTGCCAACTCCTCTGAGCGGGTAGAGGTTCCCTAATTGAGAGATATTGGTGTGTCAGCAAGCATACACATCGTTTTGAGATCTGGAAAACCTGAATCAAAATGAATATAGTTGTCTTAAACTTATAAAAGAGACCCAAAGGTGCTTTTTCAAGAGGCAGCTGGACTTTCTTGTTGTTCTTGGAAGACGTTTCGTTTCTCATCCAAGAAGCTTCTTCAGCTCTCACTGGGTGGTGGGGAATGGGAGGATTTATATTCCCCTGGATTTCTTGGCGGGGAGGAGGGAATGTAGACTACAGGAACCAGGAGCACCACTCAGGTGACTAAGGACACAGATAAACCTCCAAGTGGCCTCAATGACCCTCTAAAAGGATGCAAATGACCAGCTATCTGCAAGGAGTATAAATCCTTCCATTTCTCCACCCTCCAGTCAGAGCCAAAGAATCTTCTTGGATGAGAAGCAAAGTGTCTTCAAAGGAAAACATGACTGTCCAGTTGCCTCTTGAGAAAGCACCTTTGGGACAACCATGATGGATGACTGAGAACCTCCATAGACACTTATTAAAAGAGACTTCAAAAACGAGTCAAGGAGAGTTCGATTTTTAATTTTTCTTGGCAAGATTTCAGATTGTCCCCTCCGAAATCCACAGAGCCTTTATCTGACCGTTCCCAAGAGAAGGCAGTCAGACTGGAGAGACGGTTGTTAAAGAGGTTAGCAAGGAAGAAATAACTGTAACGATCATCTCCCGGTGTCATTCTGGTTCCCTGCGCCTGACACAAATGCAAGTCATGCCTTTAGCAGAAACGCCGTCCCGTTTCCTTTTCATGCAGGGCAGGCTTGGGGGACGGCTGGTGGCTGCAGGAGCAATTTTGAGAGCTTGTGATGTGTCCTCTCACAAAAGGGTTTGTTTGGGAAGCTGAAACAGCCTGAAGCAGCCTGAGACAAATAGAGCAGTTACTGTTCTTCCAAAGTAAGGCTCACAGGAGTTGTTAAGTACTGTATTTTTCGGACTATACGATGCACCAATATTTAGAGGAGGGAAACAAGAAAAAAAAATGTTTTTATTTTTTTTATTTTTGGCCTCTGTGTGCCCCAGGAAAGCAGTTCAAAAATGGGGCCAAAACAGGGCTCAAAACAGGAGCAAAAACATGGGGAAACAGGCTGAAAAAGGGGGCCAAAAAGAGGCAAAAAGGGGGAAAAATGAGCCCCCCAAAAGAGCGGAAAATGGGGTACGTGGAGGCCAAAAATAGGACATGCAGTGGGTGGGCGGAGCTTCAGCAATACTTGCTCCATAAGACGCACAGACATTTCCACCCACTTTGGGGAGACCAAAAAGTGTGTCTTATAGTCTGACAAATACGGTAGATTTGAAGGAGGGTATTATACTAAAAACTGAGTCCACGCCTTTCCGTACTTGTGGGTGTTGTACTGAGGGTTGTGTTGGCTCTCTGGAGTTTTGGAGCCCACTAACCTGAATTAATGAAGCCGGGGGTGGGGGCAGTGGTGTGTTGGCCGTAAGTGCGAGTAAAGGTCACCAGTTCCTTTTTCCAAGGCTGTTTGTAACCTTTGTGAAATGACACAGCTGTAAGTCAAGGCGATCCTCTGTCTTGGAACATGAGAATGTTTTGCATTGCATTAGAATATCTCCTGCTTTTTTTGTTCCGAATGCAGCAATTCAGTTCAAAGCCTGGGCACAATCTGCCCCTCCCCCAGTGGCTTCACCTCTCTAAGGAACGGTCACCGTTGTGGGCGAAGCTTCCTTGGAGGACTTCTGAAAGAGGAGATAAACCAAAGATAACAGAGGGACATTCTTTGGCTGCTTCTCGGCAGACCGTCTTGCATGTTCAAAGGGTGCATTCCTCCCGTTTGTCCAGCTGATAAGAATACAAAGGAGATATGTGGGGCCTCTCTGCTCAGTCAACCTTGTCTAGGGCGAGGCTGGCATTCTTGTCCATCGAGGGGTGCAAACAGCTGCTGCGGACGAAGATTGGCAGGGTGGGGCATCTCGATCAACAGAGCAACTGGGAGAATGGACAACATGACCGCGGATTTTTTCCCCCTGTAGGAAGAGTCTGGCGGGATTGCACTCCCGTGCTCCACGGGGCAATCAGGAGACTCATTTTCAATCTTTTCCTCTTTTTTCCCCCACCTCTGCAGAAAAATTTGCAGAAAACCTGATTCACGTCATATGGAGTTTTGTGGTTGTTGCTCACAGACATCAAACAGTGGTTCCCTGCTGGGTTGTTTTTTTTTTTGCCCCATCGGTTGTGATAATGATCTGTCTAGATCAGGGGTGTCAAACTCGATTTCATTGAGGGCCTCATCGGGGTTGGGTTTGACCTCACGGGGGGGGGGTGCGGGGTGGGCATGACCAGGGTGGGCATGGCCAGCTCGACATCACTCGTGTCGGGGGCGCCAGTGGCAGCCCGAGTGTTCTGTCAGAGAAGATGGGCCCCAGAGCTCTGTTTTCGACTGCGACAGCTTCCTGCAACCCTCTGCCAGTGAAAATGGAGTCCTTTGCTGTTTCCAGGGTGGCCCCATGGGTCAGACTGAAGCACCCCGTGGGCCTGATTTGGTCCCCGGGCCTCGAGTGTGACACCCCTGGTCTAGATAGAAGGTTTTCTGGGTATACCTCATGGGTGTTATTGTAGGGTGATATCCCTAGGTCTCAGAATTTGGATCATTGTCTACAATCCGCCAACCTCCATTTCATGGTTTAAGAAGATGCTGCCCGAAACTATATTGATAGTCACTTGGGGCATCCTGATCTTTGTTCGGTGAAAATCCTCCTTGAGTTTCACATTCCTCTTTTTCAAGTACTGTCATAGAGTTGTGTGTTGCATGCCTCTTTCTTAATCCAGTTATTTCACTAGGAAGAACCTTGTTGTCATAATGTATAATCACCTCGTGTTCTTTTGTTGTAGGTTCTGAGAAAGAATCTTTGTGCAGACTCGAAGAGAAGAATAACTCAAGTGATATATCAGTAAGCACAAGTATTGTTCTTATCCTCCATGTCCAAAATCATGGACCACTCTTTCTGCTAAATTCCATGCTGATGATCTGTTTCTAACTACTATCTTACTACTAACTTACCTATCTTAAGACTTACAGTCTTTGCATAGAACACAAGAATAATTGTAGTCGAATCATTGCCTTCAGCTTAAATCAAATAGAGCAATAGCAATAGCACTTAGACGTATATACCGCTTCACAGTGCCTCTCTAAGCGGTTTACAGAGTCAACTTCTTGCCCCTAACAATCTGTGTCCTCATTTTACTGACCACAGAAGGATAAAATGCTGAGTCAACCTTGAGCCTGGTGAGATTCGAACTGCCAAATTGCAGGCAGACAGCAGTCAGAAGTCAGCAGAAGTAGCCTGCAGTACTGCATTCTAACCACTGCGCCACTGTGGTTCTTACGTCGTGATGATGGTGTAAAAAATGACCATATTAGCTGTATAATATTGTCCTTATGAAAATGATGTAGATTCCAGTGGACCTTGATCTGCTGCATGCCAAGTCTGTTGCATGAAGATCTGGAAACCTGAAGAGTTTTCAGTCTAATAAAATTATAGTATCATAGTAAAATGATACCAATGCAGTATTTTGCACAGAGAGAGGGAGGGAGGGAGGGAGGGTGAGAGAGAGAGAGAGAGAGAGAGAGAGAGAGAGAGAGAGAGAACACAGAAAGTGGGAATTCTGTTCAGAGGGATATTACATCCAACATTCCTAAAACGTTTAAAAACCAAAGGTGCTTTCCTTTCATTTCTCATTTGCAAAATACTAACATGGGAACAAGCTCAAGATTTGAGCTAAGATATAGAGAAAATATACTACCTTTACAGAGACCTCTGCTGACAGCTAAGCTTCACTGCAGCTCTAATAAAAAAAGAATAGTTGTTTATTAGTTGATTTCTAACACTGGAGAAACTGAATGGAAAGCAGCATGGAACAAAATTGATTTTAGGATAGCAACTTCATTATTACTCTGATCCCAATGTTGCGTCATTTGTTCCAGTCCAGTCCGCCAGAGTATCCAATGAGAGATTGCATGTTTGTTCTTCAGTTAAATACTAAATACAAAAATACAAAATACAAAAAAAAAAGATATTGGAGACTCTAGAGAAAATGCATAGAAGAGCAACAATGATGGATTAGGCGACTCGAAGTTAAAACATACTGTATGAAGAACGGTTGAAGGAATTGGGTATGTCAGGTCCAGTGAAAAGTAGGACCGAGGATGACATGAGAGCAGTGTTCCAATATCTAAGGGGTTGCCACAAAGAAGAGGGCGTCAACTATTCTCCAAAGCACCTAAAGGCAGGACAAGAAGCAACAGATGGAATTTTTATCAAAGAGAGATCCAACCTAGAGTTAAGGACAAATTTCCTATCTATGAGAACAAGTTGTGGTTTGTTCTGCCACTGGAGGCTAAGAGAGATTGGGCCACCATTTGTCCAGAATGGTTTAGGGCAGGGGTTGCCAACCTTTTGGACCTCAGGGACCACCAAACTCATAATTTTAAATCCCGCGGACCAGAGACCCTGGGAAAATAAAAATAAAAGTCTGCAGGAAAATTCCTCACCCCATTTTCCTACTGATCGATCATTCTTTATTTGGGATCGCAGGATTCCATCTCCAGCTCCGTTCTCATGGGGGGAGAGAGAGAGACTTTTGGCTTCATGCAAGGAAAGCAGCAGAAGCAGCAGAAGTCTTTCTTTCTCTCCCCCAAACTCTGCCAGAAATGAGTCTTTGGAGCCTCTTGGAGCAAGGATGCCTTGCAGGGTCCCTAAGACTCATTTCTGGCGGAGTTTGGGGGAGAGAAAGAAAAACTTTTGCTGCTTTCCTTGCATACAGCCGAAAGCAGAAGAAAGAAGCGGAAAGAAGCAGCCCAGTGGCCAGATGAGGTGTGGGGGGCAAGTTTCCCCCCCCCCGCCCTTTCCCCCCTCCCCTCACTACCTCGTGTTGTTTGCAATGCAAGTGACGCAAGCCTTGTGTTCCCACGGGCCTTGCGGGTGGTGCAGCCTTGTGTTCCCACACAGCCTGGATTAATTGCTTTGGGGGTGACATTTCTCTGAAAACCACCAAAATTTTCTCATGGACACCAATGGTCCCTGGCCCATTGGTTGGCAACCATTGATTTAGGGTCTCTTGCTCAAGCAGAGGGTTAGACTAGAAGACCTCCAAGGTTCCTTTTATTATTCCCTATTGTGTATAAATGGTCATTTAGGTGTACACTGTTTATTTTACCTGCTATTTGAGGATCATTTGAAAAAGCCAGAATCTTATTTTTGCAATTAATATGGTCTTGTAAAGCAATATGTTCCATTCATTTCACAAAAGAGTACAAACCTTTCAGGTCCCAGTCATGGCTGCACTTTCTGATGTTTATCCCGCACAAAGGTTCAGATTCTGAATTTGTTCATATCCAGAATTCTAAATTTGGAATTAACTAATGTTACATATATGTCTATCCAAGGATAATTCCAAACAACATTTATATCCTTTTACATCTGCAAAAAAACCCCCCAATAGATCAATACTAAGTGCTAGATTTGCCCTAGTGGCAAATTTGAACCAACCCAACTCCATATTCAAAACTGCTGAGGTTGTTGTTTTGGATTCCTGGTTTGGGCATCACTAATTTGGGGAGAACCTGTGAGGGTTAGTTCACATACAGTCAAAAAAAAAACCCACATGACAGTAGGTCTACCTATTAGCAGAAGAGAAGGCAGGTAGAAATCAAGTCTCTCACATGAAAGAAAAGGCCACCTGGCTCATTGGATACTTCAGGCGGGGGAAAAAGGGCACAAGAATTTGAGCACTGACTGCACTATCAATAAGACTCCTACCTGATAGACACAGTTAGTGGAAGTCTTTCGTATGACCACATAGCTTTTCGACAGTAAGACTCTTTGATGAGAAGTTTCTTGGGTAGGTCTATTTACCTCAGGGGTGTCAAACTCAAGGCCTGCGGGCCGGATCTGATCCGTGGGGTCAGTGGTGGGATTCAACATTTTTTACTACTGGTTCTGTGGGCGTGGCAGGGAAAGGATACTGCAAAATCCTATTCCCACCCCACTAGCCTGCTTTCCAGCTCCGTTCTCCTATGCAGGGCAACCAAAGGAGACCCAGCTGATCAGCTGGGACTCGGGAGGCAGAGAATAGATGGTGTTGGTGGGGCCAGTCAGAGGTGGTATTTGCCGGTTCTCCCAACTACTCACAATTTCCACTACCGGTTCTCCAGAACTGGTCAGAACCTGTTGAATACCACCTCTGCATCGGGTGCTTAAGTCTGGCCCATGAACATATCAAAGGACTGGCCCACAGTGCCTCTACTGGCCAAAACAGGCATCGCGGAGGCCTCACGGCCTTTCCAACAGCACTCTTGCCAGCCCAAAACAGGCTGCATGGAGGCCTCATGGGGTCTCCACGCAGCCCATTTTTGGCTGGTAGAATGCTGCTGGTGGCTGGGGAGACCAAAAATGGACCGTGTGGGGGGCTTGTGTGCCCCATTTTGGGCTGGGAGACTGATGCAGGAGGCCATGGAGGTCAAAAATGAGGCATGGGGGGCCGTCCACAACCTCCCCATGCCCCATTTAGGCCGGCAAGGTGCTGCAGGAGGCGTCTGTCCCTCTCCCCTCTGCTCCCTCCCCACTGGTCCACGGAGGAGAACAACAGTGCTGATCCACCCCTCAGAGAAATCCAGTTTGACACCCAGGGTGGGATTCTACCAGTTCAGACTGGTTCTATGGAACCGCTTGTTATGATTCTGCATGGTTCGGAGAACCGGAAAATCATGTCCCTGGCTGGTCCTGCCCCTCTCCGCCCGCCCCTCCCCTCCCCACCCACCCAGTCTTTATCGTGCACGCGTGATATTGCGCACATGCCTGACATCGCCGACTGCGTCCTTCCCCGCCCAGTCCCTTCTTAAGGTATTTCTTTTTTTCCCCCTCCCGACAATCAGCTGTTCCGATTATGGGCTGTGCCGGGATCCCCCTTGCTGTCTTACTGCTTCGCCCAGGAGGCTCAAAAATGGAGCCCAGAGACAGGTGCTGCAAAAAAAGAAGCCACGCCCTCCCAGTCACGTGGCCACACCCACCTAGCCACGCCCACAGAACCGGTCGTTAAAAAATTTGAATCCCACCCCTGTTGGCACCCCTGGTTTAACTGGTGGTCTGGTAGGAGAAGCCAGGTGGAACTTCGAAAAGGGCTGGTTGTATTTCCGCTCTGACCCGGTCTTTCCTTCCACAGGGTGATCCTGAACTATGTTCTATGGAAAAGGCTCCTGGATGTGCGCCAGGCAGCACGAGAGGAGGGGCTGAAAGCCCCCTGGATGCCATTTGCCTCAGCGAATCTGATAAGACAGCAGTTCTGACTTTGATCAGAGAAGAGGTAACAGTTTGTAATTGGAGGGCTCGTCTCTAGATTGTGCAGAGTTTTAAAGAGGCACTTGGTCAACGGGCATTGGGACAAGCAAAATGCTCCCTTTTTAAAAAGAAAAAGAAACTCTTGTATGTTTCAGAGACTAACATGGCTGTTTTGAAGGTTGTCCCACACATTCTGGGTGCATCTATGAAGGCATAGCATCTTTGCTCTGCTTCACTGGCCAGAGAATCACAAGTGGCCTTTAATTGCAGGTTGGGACAAAAATGGAAGTGGGTTTCAATCAGCTCGTTAAATATTGTTAAATTATTTCTGGTGACTTTAATGGCTCGGCCTTTCGGAGGGTATCTGTCAGGTATGAAGAATCGGGACCACATATTGAGTTCCAGTTAAGCTGATTTATTGCTCATGCCTGTAACACAAGAATCTAGTCAACTGTCAGCAATAAATCAGCGCTGGACTTGGATCACTTGTGAGAATGTAATGACTCCAGGCTGACTCCTCTCTTGACCCCACCTCTGTCTCTGTCATTCCTTCTCCTACACGTATCCAAGGCTGGAGAGGAGACTTGCATGCAGCCCTAGGATTGGAATTGGGAATATATTTGGCTCAGAATAGGAGCTCCTTGGATTAGCAAGTCACCCATAATTTTTGAATTGTTTTGAGTTGACAAATATTTTTGGAACTCTGTCAGAATTCTTTGGGATTGAGGGAGATAATATACCTTACAAATATTCTAGAAATATTCTTGACATCCTCCCCTACTCTGCCATATAGAATTAGGATTTTCTATGTGTCTGTTTCTTTATTTCATACTTCCTGCTTCATTTTGACAATCGGGGAGAAGTCCTCCTTAGAACTGGGGGCCAAAATTCAGTTCTGTCCTTGAGGACTGGAGACTGATGTCAAAATTAGCCAAAGATATCAAAAACCATTAGCAGTTTGATACTAATGGAGTCCGGGCCTATCAGCTATCTTCTAGTTTTAGCTAAGATGACTTACAATGTGCTGATACTTTTAATTAAGAAAAGTCTTACCACTTGTAACCAGAGGAGACATCTCATCTTCTGGCAAACCTTCCCTGTGTAGGTGTGTCTGCCCATAACTTAGTACATCATATCTAGATATTCTGGAAATATTTTTTTAAAATGGTAGCCTAGCATATATAATTTTTTTGCAAAGAATGCATTTCTTAAGAAGGTCCAACTAAACATCAGGCGGAATCCACAGGTGTATTTGCAGGTGACAGAGGTGAAATACCACTGCATCACAGTATGGTATCTCCTCTTTCCTCCACCTCTCCTCCCTATATCTTCACCCCGTTTCTTTCAGAGATGAGAGGGGCTGCCTTCTCAAAACTAACAGTTGTATCGCTAACTAACAGTATTCATATTTTTTAGATTATATCTAAGGAAATTGAAGCCAATGAATGGAAGAGAAAATATGAAGGAAGTCGACAGGAAGTTTTGGAAATGAGGTAAAAACGACTCAATGGGGCTAATACCCCATAGTTTCAGATTGTTTACAAGTGTGCAGCCACAGATCACTATGGGAACCTCATGTAGATTAAAAGACACCTTTATTAACTGAGTTAATAGAGACTATTCACCATGTTAAGAAATTCCCAATATAGTCCGTTGATGTCAAGTATAAGAAGTCAGGAGCCAGAGTTCAAAAGTATTACAAGTTTATTTCATGCTTTCTATACACAAAAATCTGAATTAATATCAAAGTGAATTGGAGCCAGATAATGGACTTTGGGGGTTGGGGGTGGACTTTGGTATTGTATGGGAGCACAGAGACTCTAAACTAATGATGCGTTTGACTCCACACTCGAGCCCAGCCTGGTCATCTCCTACCATTGCTCTCAGTTAGCTTATCCTGTAATTTGAAGGCTACCATGCAATGGTGGGATTCAAAAATTTTTACTACGGTTTTGTGGGAGTGACTTGGTATATGGCATGACATGGTGGGTGTGGCAGGGGAAGGATACTGTAAAATCTCCATTCCCACACCACACCACTAACCTGCTTTCCAGCTCCGTTCTCCTGTGCAGGTCAACCAAAGAAGACCCAGCCAATCAGCTGGGACTCAGGAGGCAGAGAATAGATGGGGGTGGGGCCAATCAGACATGGTATTTGCTAGTTTTCCGAACTACTCAAAATTTCCACTACCGGTTTTCCAGAACTGGTCAGATCCTGCCATGGTTCTTATAAGACTTAAGCTTCTAATCTGATTACAAAAATGCTGCCTCTTCAGGATAACCTACTATGAATTCAAGATGCTGAGGCTGTTTTCCGCATGGACAAATATAAAGACAGTGAAGCAAGGAGTAAGATCTTCAGTTGAAGATCTTCAGTCTGAGGGTTGATTGGATTAGTGAAAATGGGACATTCTGAAGGATGACGGGGACTAAAAAGCACCACATCTGGAGCACTTGAGGAAAACGGAGAGAGATTTTGAAGTTGCTCAGCCCCGAAATTAATTGGGCTGCTCTTAGTCTAACCTCCATCTACGAATGCAAGCATAACTTTTGACAGGGTTTGAGGGAGAAGATCTTGGATTGGCCACCAAGAAAACCGATAGGAAGACCAAATTCATCCCCCAAATTTTGTTGGGAGAGTTTGGACGGTCAGTGTGGCCTCCCTCACAAGATTCCTACAAGGAGGAAACGGAAGAAGCACGCCCTATTCTTTTGAAAGGAAGAGGCACAAAATTAGACAAATAGGTGAATCAAATCCACCAAATATTCCAGCCTGCTTTGATTTGAAAGCCAAACCAATTGATAGTGAAGCAGGTACCCCTCTAACCAGGATGGCAAATCTATGGCACGTGTGCCACAGTTGGCATGCAGAGCCATTTGTGAGGGCACACGAGCCCCACCAAACTTACCTGCACTGTACAAGTGTGCACCTCCCAGCTGCTTTTCTGCTCGTTTGAGGCCGTTTTCGGCCTCCCGGAGGCTCGAGGGAAGCCTGAAAATCAGGCCTTCCAAAAATACTGGAAGTGCTAAAACAACGGGTCCATTTTGAAGGTTCCTTTGAAGCCTCCAGGAGGCTGAAAACAGCCTCAAACGAGCAGAAAATCAGCTGGGAGATGCGCACGTGCACAGTGGAGGTAAGGGGTAGGGCAGGGGTGTTGCGCATACATACACAGGGGGGCGGGATGCATTGCATTGTGGGTGCTGGCATGTACGTGCACTATTGTGCATGCTTGCGCTTTTGGCACACCACAACAAAAAGGTTCGCCATCACTGCTGTATAATAACCCTTAAGCACCTTTATATACACTCAATTACGGAAGCTATTTGTAAGAGAAAGGCATCAGTAAGTGGTATTTGACATTCCTTCTCCAATCTGGTGGGTCTCCAGATATGGTAGGTCAAAACTTCTAGTATTCTGAACCGCCATGTCCAGTCATTTAGTACCAGGGTGTGAAGCAGCTTCCTTAAGTGGAAATATACTGAAAAAAAACTTGCTGGCAAAGATAGAATGTCACATGCATTTGGTTTTGTAGGAGGAGAAAATTAATGCCATTTCTATTACTCATATCTTTTCTTCTGTTTCCTCTTTAGGAAGATTGTGGCTGAATATGAGAAGACAATTGCACAGATGATAGGTAAGCAACTGATAAATGCCAGGTGTTCATCTGCAAATTACTGGGAAGAACAAATAAGCAGGTCAGCCTGTTCATCATCTTTTCTAGTTTCCGTAATGTGCAGAAAATGGAGAGAGGCTTGCAACTATTTATATTTGTGATGCCTTGGCTGTAGATTCTGTAGGTGGACTATAAATAAGAGACAGAGCCACGAATAGCAAGTAATCAGGTGGAAAAAAGCAATCTGCTCCAATCAAAGATAAAGGGTTTTTTTTTCCTCTTAAGTATAATTTAAGAACCTTGTCTATGATTTTGAGTGCATGATTCAAACTGCATATTACTAGCTTTTCAGGTGGTATGTACTTGGATTGCTCATGTTTGCAACAGAAAACATATCCTGTGCTCTTTCAGTCTGTTGCTTGTAATACAGGTGAAGTACTAAACGTAGAATCCAAAGAGGTCCTGTAGTTTGGAGAAAATATTTTGAGGAACTCTGTTAAAACTTATCTTTATCTGGTGCTATTTATATGTTCCTCTTAGATTGTGGAATTAAAGTAGAAGAAATTCCTAGCTTGCAGATGAGCAACCTATACCTCCAGCATCCCCATTGCACCTCTTTTGAATGGATGGGGCTGAATATTGTGTGTGTGTGTGTGTGTGTGTGTGTGTGTGTGTTAAATAGACAAAACCAGTACTTAATTCTTGCAAAAGCGTGTGGCGGCCTAGTGGTGAAGATGCTCAACTCCTACTTGGAAGGTTGAGAGTTCAATTCTAGGTGGTGGCAGATATTTCTCTCTTAAGGCACAAAAGAAAAAAATATCTGCTGCAAACTCCACATGGCATCAGGGAGGACATCCAGCTAACACTCAGCTCCATCTACTCAACCCGATTCTACCTTGAATTAAAGGATTACAGGGTTGTAAAAAAAGGAGGAGTATTTTTAGGGTGGTTTGGTGGGTAAAACCCTTCACTTTCCCGGCACAGCCACCAGATGTGATAGATTTTCCCTTCCAGAATTCTCAGCCATGGCCATGTAGATCTACAAACAGGAAGTTGAAATCCATACACCTGGAGAATACCCACATTTTGGAAGGCTAGCTTTAAACAGATATTTTGCCTCTCAAAAACTCCGAAAGCTCTCAGTAGGAAAATATATAGATAAAAATATTGATTCCACCCGCTCTATTGGCATCACGCTCCCTTTCAGAAGAAAAGCACCTCGTAAAGATGAACAAGATTGCTCTCTTCGGCTCTACTTGTTGTCTTTTCACCAGGGGTTCCCAAACTTGGCAACTTTAAGATTTGTGGACTTCAACTCCTAGAATTCTCCAGCCAGCTATGCTGGCTGAGGAATTCTGGGAGTTGAAGTCCCCAAGTCTTAAAGTTGCCAGGTTTGGAGACCTCTGCTCTTGACTAAAGGCCTGTTGAAGCACTGTTGTCATTACCCTTTCCCTTTGAATTCACAGAGGATGAGCAGAGAACCAATATGACATCCCAGAAGAGCCTTCAGCAGCTGACGATGGAGAAGGAACAAGCCCTGTCTGACTTGAATTCAGTGGAGAGATCTCTGTCCGATCTGTTCAGGAGATATGAGAACCTAAAGGGAGTCCTGGAAGGTTTCAAGAAGGTAAACTGAGGGCTGAAAAATCACTGTGAAGTGGTATATAAGTATGTAAGTGCTAGTTATAATTATACCCTTTCCTTCTGTGTATAAGATCCCATGTTCTGTTTCCCGAATCATTGGTTGAAGGTCTTGAAGTAGAACCTGCAAGGACTAATTCTGTCCCAACGCCAAAAATGTGATTTGTGGGCCTTTGGCAGTGGGTGAATCTAAGCATTGTGGTTCATAGCCAAGTCGAGCTTTTCTTTTCCTTTTCCTTCCAGAATGAAGAGGCCTTGAAAAAGTGTGCTCAAGATTACCTCAATCGAGTCAAGCAAGAAGAGCAGCGCTATCAGGCCTTGAAAATCCACGCGGAGGAGAAGTTAGACAAGTAAGACCAATAACGGCACTTTCCCTGCGTCTCGCCAGTCCTCATACTTACAATAGTTGCAGTGTTTCCACGGTCAAGTTACCAAAATTTGGGCACTTGGCAGCCAGCATGAACTTAGAACAACTGCAGTATCCTGGGGTCACATTCATTTTCATACGAGTTTTCATACTAATTGAATGCCTCGTATGAAAAGTTTTGGTCACCACACTATAAAAAAAGATGTTGAGACTCTAGAAAAAGTGCAGAGAAGAGAAACCTGGATGATTAGGGGACTGGAGGATAAAACATATGAAGAATGGTTACAGGAACTGGGCTTGGCTAGTCTAGAGAAGAGAAGGACCAGGGGAGACATGATAGCAATGTTCCAATATTTGAGGGGCTGCCACAGAGAGGAGGAAGCGGTCAAGCTATTTTCTAAAGCACAGAATAATGGATGGAAACTGAACAAGGAGAGATTCAACCTGGAAATATGGAGAAACTTTCTGACAGGGAGAACAATCAACCAGCTTGCTCTCGAAAGTTGTGGGAGCGCCATTACTTGAGACCTTCAAGAAGAGATTGGAGTGCCACTTGTCAGAAATGGTGTAGGGTCTCCTGCTTGGGTGGGTGGGGTTGGACTAGATAACCTATAAGGTCCCTTCCAACTCTGATTATCTATTATCTGTTAAAACGGAGCTGTGGCCTAGCATTGATGACGTTACCTAGCTGGGTCATGAAACGTCTCCAAGAAAACAAGCAAGCTCAGAGAGCACCAAGGAGCCCTCATGTCAACCCTGAGCTACAAATATTCTCCTTCATTAATAATTTCAGCTTTGCATGCTTTCCCCTCAGTGTGACTCTTCCTCTCCCATATGACCCAAAGAAGAAAAGGCCAGTGGTTTGAAGTTACATGTGAACTGGGAGTGGGATAGAAGTAATCCTCAACTTAAGACCATAATTGGGATCAGAACTTCTGTTGCTAAGTGATGTGGTCCTTAAGTGAGTCACACCCAATTTTTTTGCTGCAGTCAGTAAATGAATCGGATTTCCTCCATTGACTTGGCTTGTTGGGAGCCAGTTGGGAAGGTCATAAATGGTGATCATGTGACCTCAGGATACTGCAGTTGTTGTAAGTTCATGCTGGTTGCCAAGTGCCCAAATTTTGATAACTTGACCATGGAGACACTGCAACTATTGTAACTACGAGGACCATTTTTTTCAACACCGTTGTAACTTCAAATGTTTCCAAACAAATGGTCGTAAGTTGAGGATTTCCTGTATCATGGTATCTTGGTATTTATCATTAATCGGTTCCAGGAGACATGATGACTACCAAAGATGACGAGTAATAAACAGACTTTTCCCATAAGGAATAATGCACTGAGTCACAAATCAGCCGACACAAATTCTAGCTTGTGCATTGAGTACCAAACAAACAATGAATACTGGGACAAAAACGTTCAGGTCAAAATATGTTGAGTACCAAATTTGAGGAGTATCAAAGCAATTGAGTACTAAGGTACCTGTCAGTGTTCCAAGTAATATACCCATTGAAAGCAGAACTCTGGGGCAGGTTGATTCCTCAAAGAACAATGTATTGGATCTATCATATTGGCGCAACTGGTGAAAACCGACTGAAGATTCCTGTTGGTTTTCACCTAATTAAAAGTGAAAATCCCCCCTTTCCCCAAGTCATCAGTCACATTGTCCAATCAAGGTGCTGATCAGTTGCTTGCTTATTCCACTCCTCCTTCCCAGCCACCTATTGGGATGTCCTTGGTTCCCACAGGAAAACTTTTTGTTTCAACTACATAGCCCCAGCTATCTATTTCCCCTCTCCCTCTCCCTTCTTTTGCCTTGTGGCAACCCTGAAGCCTCAAAGATGGCCTCAGCCAGGTTCGGGGTTGACAGTACCACTGCATTCAATAAATTATGGAATTTTTTCCTTTTATATCCATTCATTCTCTCTCTCTCTCTCTCCTTTTTTCCTCCGTGCCCCCCCCTCCCCTTTGTCCCAGAGCCAATGAGGAAATTGCTCAGGTCCGTACTAAGGCCAAAGCTGAGAGTGCAGCTCTTCACGCCGGACTTCGAAAAGAACAAATGAAGGTTGAGTCTCTTGAAAGGACCCTCCAGCAAAAGGTGATTTCATCTCTTTCACTTGCTTTCCTTGCTGGAGAAGATTGTCTGAAATTCACACTGTGTTCCTCCTGGAATTGGGTGAAAGCAACGGCTATTGTAGTTCAGAACATTCACCTCATGCACACCTAAAGTGGTTGAATCATTCACACGTTTCACTGTTGCTGTTAGCTTTGGGGTATGGGCGTGTCTATTGTTGTGTCTGTCAAACAAATTAAAGCTCAAACGAGGGAGATTTCCATTGCTTCCTGGCAGATTCCCACAAGGAAACTCCATGGGGAAACCAGCAGGAAGTCAAAAAATTGATCCTGCTTTTACTGAATCCGAATCAGATTCAGAATCAAGAACACACTGCTTTTTGGCCACCCTTGGTCAATCAATTTCTCTATTTAGCTAAGGGAATATCTCTGAAACAATGACCTAAGGAGGCACCAAGTTATCATTATTGACTTAAAGATGAAGAAACTTGCCCTATAGCTCACTGACTAAGGAATGCAGTTGCATTCATCCGAACATTTAAAGGGGAGCTGCTTTAGCTTCTAAATCACTGCTGGGTTGCTGTGTTTTTCACCTGCACTTCCTGTTTTAATGTATCACATGAATAAATACAGAGCAACACAAGCTGTCTTTCAACTGCAACCAACCCAGTGGTGAGTTTCAAAATATTTTCCTACCGGTTTGGTAAGCACGCACTTTGCACGTGAGCACAGCATTTGCTAATGAGCTTCTCCAGGAATCCCTGTGTGTTACACAGCTGACGCACAGCAATCTGCCGTGCCGTGCCAATCAGATGAGCTTGGAAAACAAGGTATAAAGCGCAGCCTAGAGCCCTGGCAGGCAGGTGGGCCAAAACAGCCGATCATGGGAGCAAACCCGAACCGGTTTGCTCTCAGATGATCCTCGGAGCTACCGGATCACCCAAACCGGACCGAACTGGTAGCATACCACCACTGAACCCATCTACATCAGTGCACAGATTACTAACTGCAGAAAAATGAAGCCTTTGAAAAGGGCATATTTGTGGAACTGAGCTTCAGAAGTCACACAGGCTTTAAAGGAAGACTTTAAATAAAATATTTTATGAAACAGAAATGAAATTTAAATTTAAAAATAGGAGATTTTTCTCCTCCTGGCAGCTATGCCAATTCATACTGGAGACTGAGCTCCATTTTTTTTTTATTTTGCAACTTAGACCAACCCCTCCCCCCACCCCCATTCTCAAAGGGAGGCGGGGTTTGGACCCTCACAGATTTTTATCTTACAAGGTACTCCTTTCTGTCTCATTCAAAGGTGATAGCAGGCTGAGGAACCAGTTCTGATCTTTGAGAACACCCCCACTGTTCTGACCAAGGCTTCCTGAGACATTAACAAACACACATTAGCCCAAAAACCTTTTATTTTATTTCAATGGCTGTGAATTAGAGTCATTTACAGCCCGTAATGAGTCTCAAACAGTTTGTAAAGAGTCCCACAGAAGTTTGCCAGAGTCCTTCAGGATAAGTCTGATAAGCATGCACCTTTATCTTTCTTGAAATGCTACCAACGACGACATTGACAATTAGTTGTACAAGGCCAAACGGAGCACAAATTCAACATGGAGCTTCAGGTTTGAAACTGACCAGTACGAACATAGTTGCTTCCTGCAAAGGTTCATATCCCTTTGCTCCTCCTTTGTGTCTTATGGGAGGGCCAATCACCTCCAAGCCTTACTCCCAAGTTCCCCCTTTTGTCTTAACTGCTCTTGCCCTCTGGCAACTCTGTGCACGCGCACACTGGTAACAGGCTCCCCCTGTTCATCTGCCTTGCTGTTGTTAGATTCTGGAGGCTCTGGAGGAGTCAGCACATAACTTCCAGTTGGCCCTGGCCCATCTCTGTATCTGATACAGAACCCATGTCCGAGTCCTCCTCAGACTCCTGGATTGGCCCATGGTCCTCTCCACTGTCCAATTCTGCTGCCCTCTCCGCAGGCTGCTGGCGGACCACAACACCCACCCTGTATAATAGCGCTAAACTTGGGACATGTATAATCTGGTTGCATTTTGTACATGAAGGAACATGGGTTGAGGATGTCCCATCAGGGGTGGGATTCCAAATTTTTTCCTACCGGTTCTATGAGAGCACGCTTTGCGCGCGCAGCAATCAGAAAACGCCCTCTGCCAGCGCTGGTGAGGTGAGCTGGTTTTTATTAGCTCAGCTGAGGCACAGTAATCCTCTCTGCCTTGTGAATCAGCTGAGCTAACAAACAGGGGAATATAGGACAGGATAGGGCGGGTGCAGATGGGCGGGGCCAGCCAGAGGTGGGTTTTGCCGGTTCTCTGAACTACTCAAAAAAAATTTTGCTATCGGTTCTCTAGAACCGGTCAGAACAGCTGAATACAACCTCTAATGTCCATGCATTATGGGGATGTTACTAATTTCGCTCCATCAGAGAAATCAGCCAACCCCCAAATTGTGGGTAATCAGCATTTCACTTCTGGGCTTTATTCATCCTTTCATTTATTTTTCAGAACCAGGAAATCGAAGAGTTGACCAAGATCTGTGATGAGCTGATCGCCAAGTTAGGAAAGACCGACTGAGGACGTCTTTAATCATTTCTGGAGCGCCATTCTTGGTTTTTCCCTGCTATCCATCTGTATCTTCCAGCAAACATCTTGCCTTATTTTTTTTCCCCCTTCCATCTTTTCCCCCTTCAACGGCAGCAAGAAAAAGCACATGCTTCTGTATCCAAGAACTGCCATCTGCAAGAGGAGTGACGATTGCTCTGTTTGTACCCATTTCCTGCCCTGTAGACCCTCCCTTTCCTATTCGGTATTTTGCAGGCTCTCCTGACTGCATGCAGCCAATGGATAGAAGCAGGAACGTGCGTTAGAGATGGTGATTGCTTTGCACGGAAGAGTTTCTGCACTTGGTTGAAGCTTTGGCCCACAGAAGCAGCTGTATGAATGCCGCAAGGACAGTCACCTATGGGGAGCGAGAGCAGTGTTTGCAGATGCTTCAGTCTGAAAGCCAGAAATGCAGCTTAATTGAATCCATGTTCCCCTGCATGCACTAAGTACCGTCCCAGCAAGGACATGAGTGGAATACGACTTCAGCTGCCTCTGAAAGCACAAGGGGGGAAAGCTAAGGCAGATGTCACTGTTCCTCAAGGGAAAATGCCCAGATGAAAATGGATTGGCGTTCCTGGGAGCACGGCATCATTGCAAATTGCAATCAGCCACGGAGAAAAGGAACTCATCCCTGTCTTGCTTGACCAAGACGGAGCTTGAGGCGCCTTGATTCATGGCGGCGTAAGCTTTGTAGATCTGAAAATATGGGCCACCAGAAATCCATAAGCCCTAAAAGGCAGATTTCATAGTCCTAAAAGGCCACAAGATATCAGAGTTTTGAGTTTAGTGGTTCTCCCAGATGTGGGGCTGCCAGCTTGGGTGTTTGGGACACTGGAACCGGCCTATCTGAAAAAGCACTTGGGATGGGGAAGTTAATATAAGGTGCCATAAGTCTCTTTAAGAGGCATAGCCAGCTGGTTTGGGATTTGTCTTAGTGCACTTTAAGGCAAGAGTGAGTGGACTACAATTTCTCCCGAAGAGAACACACACAGAGTGAACTTGAGTGAAGAAGAGCAACTGTTAGAAATCCCTAAACACACACACACACAACCTCCCCCTGCCCCACACACAGATCCACACACAGACACAGCACAAACATGCACACACGCACTCCAATCATTCTTTAGGTTAGCACTTTTTCTCTGTCCAGCCAAGAACAGGGAATGGAACACAATGGAGAGCAAGAGAAGAAGTAGAAGTCCAACCTCCTTGTGCCAAGGGCTGATGACTAACCTCCTTCCCGGACCTCATCAAGGTTCTCTGAGAATTTGATATCATTTCAGAACCTAAAATGATTTGCAAAGAACATTCCCCCCTCTTCTCAGTTGAGATCATTAAAATGGATATCTGTCCAGGAATTGCAATTGTCCTGGGAGTTTTGCAATGACCACAAAACGTTTTATCAGCCAGGTTCTTGCCTGGAAATCTTTTCACATTTTTCTCCTTTTTTGGTGGAAGCCACAGTGGTTAGTCCATTAAGGAACTCTCAAATTCGATACTCAAAAGAGGCCTCAAATTGTCCCAGTCCAGATATTGGAGCTGCCAGTCCCAGAATTGTGATTTGTAATTGCAACACATCTGCAAGGTGCCATTTGGGATGGCTGGTGTGAACATTTGGTTGTTTCATGTTGGCATTGGTTTTTACATACTCTGGCTGTATCAAGTAAACAATGGAGATTTTTCTCTGCCTGTGGATTCAGTGATCAGGTGCTGAAATCCGTAGCACAGATCCTCTGTGGCTATACCGCTTGGGCTAAATTCTGCATGGAGTCTTGTTATAGAAAGGGAGTTCCAGAGATCAACCCATTCTGTGGGTTGTCTTAGTCACGCATAGAGAGAAGCCGCACTAGGGAACTATCCACAGCCATCATGCATGGAGAGAAGAGCTCCATTTCTGGTGCCTACCAAAAGTATCTCCATCTTGCAAACTTCCAAGCATGTTGCGAGGGCTTCAAGCTACTTTGGCAACTTACTCTTTCCTAGTGTTCTGTGACAATTTCCACAATTTCTAGTGCTGACTGGAAATAATTGGAATTGTCGTACAGTACATCTACAGTACATCTGCTAGAAGCTTACCTAATCTTGAGAGATAACGGAATGAAATACATTTGACCAATAATATAAACCCCTTTATTTCCGAGGAAGATGTGCCATTCCTAAATAGGAACTCCACTTTCAAGCTTGCCTGAAACTTTTCTCTCTTACGGTGTCTCATGAGGTTTATCTTTCAACTGAAACTCATCCTGCTCTACACTTTGCTATCACACCTCCTTGGCCCACCTGCCATGCCACTGCTTCCCACTGAAATGCCGCCACTGAACAGAGCTGAGATACAATCAAAGGTTTATACCAGGCCAAATTCCTTGGACTCAGAGCTCTTGGAATCATGGCGCCTGGTGGAAAATCATGCTACAGAATTTTATTGAATCTGGCGTTACCAGGGATAGCTTTGGCTTAATTGCAGATCTGGATCTAGGAACTTTCGTTGGCGTTGCCAGGCAAAAGATTCTGGCAGGTGGAATAGCATTTGGAAGAGCTCTTTTGCTGCAATTTTGGAAGACCTGTTTTCGGTTCCCATAAAACTATGGTCCTGCCAAGTGATCCTTGTTTTATGGTGTCGCTCACTTTATAGCAGCTGCACTAGTGGCAGCCTTCAGTTGGGTCAGGGATGGAGACCTTGTGGCCTTCAAGAGCTTCAATGGAGTTGCATCAACCCCAACTGGTCTGGGAATTACACGCGCATCTTTGGCTACAGTTTGTCCACCTTTGACTAAAGGAAGGAGGAAGTAGAAACCCAAGGTTTGTCCTGCAAGCAAAATCCTGTGTCTTCTTCCAGAGGTCTGTGGTTTTAACGCCATCCTCCAGCTCTTGGCTGGGTGTTCAGTGGTTGCACTTTTGTCTGTGGTGTGTTTTGTGCAGGTGTGTGTCTTCACATGCACACTGTGCCAAATGCTCTCTTGTTTTGTGCCTCAAGCATGCCACTAAAGGGCAAAGAAGATTCCTAAGGAATGATATTATTAACTATAATATGGTTATTATAGTTTGTTCAGCTATATGAAAATTGTGTGCGCGCATGTGTGTGTGTATATATATATGTATATATATATGTATATATGTGTGTGGGAATGATATAGTTCTATATAGTGTTGGGGTGTGGGTGTATGATTGAAGTCTGTAGAACTGTTGCACCTCATATAGCATTGTGTGGCAAAATGGTACTCAGACTGGCTGCTAATTCTCTCTGTCAAATCTTTTCCATCTACAGCAGTAACTTCCACCAATCTATAATGTTTCCAAAACCATTTGAAAGAAGAGCCCTTGGTTGATTGCTCATCCTACATAGGTGTCCCACACGATCCCTTCCCAGCCAGAAAGAAGCTGCGGGGTTTGTGCAGCAAACACCCAATTTGTTCCATAATCATTCACGCCGACTGAAATCACCCCACCTCACCTGTTCTGGTTAAAGAGCTTCGGCCACTTAAAGTGTGCAGCTGCAGCCCCATAACTTGCAAGTGAGATTATAGGTTTTAAGATTATCTTGTCAGTGAAAGTGCTAATAGAAGAGGTTGCTTATCTCTACCTGGAACGCTAAACTTGAGGAGTGAAATGGTTTCTGCCATCGTGACGTCTTCTGGATTGAGACTGTTAGCATTATGTAGCCTACCATCTGAGCCTTCTCAGTTTTGCAGCCCGGCATTTCTGAAGGGTTGTTGTATTACCGAAGGCAATGTTAAAATCTGTTTCTAAATGGAAAAGAATTTGTGGAGGGCAGGACATTCTCCAAAGTAATCCACCATAAATCTACAGGGCTGGTTGTATCACAAGGATATATGAGTCAATGACATTCCTGAGACAGTCAGATATCAAGCATCAACCCTAGCTTAGAAAAAGAAGAAAAAGAAAACCCCAAATTCCCTGAATTATTTTTTGACAGCTGATTATAGTTGGAGGATCCACTTTAATCCCAGATTGCAATGAATTGAGGTCTCTTTTTTTCTGGCTCAAAAGTATGTCTTCCTTTCTCTCTCTCCTTTTCTTCTTGCAATCACCTTTTGCACAAAGGAGTTAGCCTACTACTATGAAGCAAGTTATTACTATCCACCTGGGTGCGACCGCTGAGAGCATTCGCCTGTGCAAAAGGTTTATTTCATTTCCACATTATCATCTGACTAAAAGCCCTCCAGTGCAGGGGTTTCCAACGTTGGCAACTTTAAGACTTGTGGACTTCAACTCCCAGAGTTCCTCAGCCAGGAAAGCTACAGCAAACCTGACTGAGGAATTCTGGGAGTTGAAGTTCACAAGGCTTAAAGTTGCCAAGGTTGGAGACCCCTGCTCTAGTGTCTGATCTAAGACAACTTGCAAGCTTTCGTGGGGGGAGGTCCTTTGTACAGAAGGCATACATAACTTGCCAGCTTTACATATTTGATATGTGTATGTATATATATATATATACACACACACAGTATATGATGATATCCCTTTTCTAAGGTAAATATTTGTAAGAGTTCTACTCGCTCCAATAAGATAAATTGATCGTTAATATATTTTTCCCCAGCCTCTCCACTGCCTGAATAAAACCAATGTTCTTTCAACTTGGCTACGATATATAATTTTATGTTATTTATTTCTAATCCAGACAGACATCTTTGGATTTTGATACTGGTATATATGAACTTAAAGCTGTATGCAAAAGCATAACAACATCTACACGAAACAAGTTTAAAACATTATAGTACACCCTCCCACAAGGTTGAACACCTACTTAAAATTTATGTGCGGCTGTTCACAGTGCATATGGCAGGTGCGGAAAGGTGAATACCCTTTGAGTTAAAATGCCTGCATTTATAAATCTTTCTATCTTGCTTTTTGAATTATTTTCACCATTCTTCCATGCCAAACTCTTTCTGCTAAAAAATACTCTCGGATCTCCTTTTGTACATTTTACTGTTGAGAACTCCGGCGATGACTAATAATATTCAAATCTGGGCACTGTGAAGAGTATTTCAAAAGGATCCTGGGTTCCTATTAGTAAGGCTCCATCGGTAGATGTCTTGATGAAGGAGATCTTTTGTGATCCCAGGCACCTCTGTTGTACTAGGCAAAAATGGATTCAGTTGTTACGTTTTCTAAATCATGATTTATGGCTTAGGCGTGTTACACAAAACCCGCCACCTTTCTGTTCGCCAAATCACAATTAAGCATGATGGATGAAATCTCTCCCCCAGTGGTTGGATGCTGCCAGTTTAACAACCAGCACGCACTTTGCTTAAGGTGCTGGTGCACAGCGCTGAAAATGGAGCATTTTAGAAGCTCAGCTGCTTACCTTCCAAGCCAGCAACAGCAAGTAAAACAGCAAGGGGAAGAAATCAGCTGTGCCGCACGATTGAGATGGGCTATAAAGCAGAAAATAAAGGACAGGATAGGGCGAGACCAGCTGAACGTCAAAACTACCGGTTCGCTCAAACCGGTCCAAACCGCCAGCATCCCACCACTGCTCTCCTCCATTCAAATAGTAAGACTAAGGACCAGAGTGTTGCATTCTCCATTTAAGAGAGGAGGATTAATTTTCAAGCGGAATATAAGAACTGCAAACGATACAAGATCTGCGCAAAACTTCCCCTCCGTCTCTGCTGATTCTTGAAATGTAATCCCTTTGGATAGAAGTCCTATTCCACAATTCCATCTTGCTGGACATCAACATGTAAATGTGGCAAGAAACTTTATCAGCCAAATACAGGTGATCCTTGACTTACAACCGTTCATTTAGTGGTACATCGTGGTCTTTCTCTGCATGGGCTACTTCCTTGGTCAGGGTCTCCAGCAGTTCATTTGAAGAGCAATCCACCCCTGGAAAAGGAATTCTCTCATCCCCACCCCACCCCCCAGTGGTAAGTTGAATATCTTCAGGCCTGTATGTGTGCCAAATTTGTGATAAAAACCAGCCTTTCAGGTTTCCATACAACTGGAGGCTCTTGAACAATAAATAGACATAAGACATAAGAATTTATTTGTCATTACACTCGCAAGCGGGTGCAACGAAATGAGGTGCTCTTTCACAAGTAAAACTGGACAACACCATTGAAAGAAAAAAATAAAATTAAACACAACAGACTATACAATAATACAAAATAGGAGCTTTCTTATGGAGCTTTTGCGAAAGGGAATGCTGTGCTCAGAAACCATGTTTCCTAGGAAGGCTGGGGTTTACATACAGTTTCAAAAATATACAGTCACTGCCCCCTTCCGGGGTCACAACCTATCCAGTTATGCATCACCCTACGCAACACCCTACTA